CACTGAGCTTAATTTTTATAACCCGTGGCTATAATAAGTACTTCAGTCGTGCCTCCTCTTAATCATCTTTTCTCAAGACTGAATAAATCCTACTTTTTTTTCCTCTCTCTCTCTTGATATTTAAGCCCTCTTTCCCCATTCATCATCTTTGTTTCTCATGCTGTGCTCTCACCAACCTAATTCTGTCTGTCTTCAAATAAGCTGGCCAAAATGGGACGCCAGCGTTCAAACGTGGTTTCACTGGGGTTTTCTAGACTCAGGCAACAATATGTTTAATATCCTTTGCCCGCGATAAGCCAGTTTTCTATTAACCTTCTTTACCACCGCTATGCATTAGACCAAGATTCTGTCAATAAAGGTTCATTTTCGTGTGACACATTAGCTAATTCAGTGCCTTTTAAACTCTGCTTAGCTGTGCTAATCATTATTATTTGCCTCCAGTCTTTCCACGCAGAGTGTGAACTGTAAGTATGCTCCCAAAAATCTCTTCGTTTGTCCTTGCGTACAGTAATTATCTTGACACAGTGATTAATAATTATTATTCTTGCCTCTTAATACCAGCTTTAAAATATAATTTTTTTTCTTTCTTGTATCAAGAATTGCACAATTCACTATGACTCGTTCAGCAAGTCAGCCAGGGTCAAAGGGAGAATAAATGTTGTCACAGTCTCTGTGGAAACAAAAAGCAAGCCTGCATCTTTAGGGAGAATCAAATCTGGCATCCTGACATTCATTAGACCGCGTTTGTCAGTGCTGAATAAACAACCTTTCATCGAGTGCAGCAATTTTCCTCGTTCTGTAATTAAAGATTTTTTTTTATTCTTTTTTTGCTTAATTTATTTATACGAAAACTTGCTGAAGTGAGACCAAAATTTTTAGAATGCGTATTTCAAAATGAGGAATGACGGTTCTGGATAAAGTCCCAGGTACTATAATATCTTGATTTACTGTCTGAAATGTTACGCTGAGTCCATCCACAGAGGAAAGCTCTCCAGGTTTCCTCTGCACATGAAGGGAGCACGTGGGCTCCTTTTGCCTTTATGAATGCGAGGTTAGCTCCTAAGGCTTGTAGAATTTATAGATTTGTCAATGGAGTGTGAACTTCTGGTGAACTTGGCAATAGGATGGTGAGGTAGAATTCCTCAAAAGAGAAGGTCCATCCTCATTGCTAGAAGGTGCTTTCAGTCTTCTTTCTGTTTGTCTGAAGACAATCTCTTGGTGAAACTGATGCAAGCTTTTCAACTCACTCAGAGAAATAACGCAAATTTGGGGTTTAATGGGGCGTTTTCAGTTATTTGATTGGCGGGGGTAGAGGTTTTGTTGTTTTTTGCCTTTGTGGGTAAGTGGTTCAGATTCAGCCTGGCTCGTAGTTGCTTACGATGTGTAGGATTTTTGATATTCTTCAGAAAAATTCTTTGTTGGCACCTAGTACCTTACGGACATCTGATAGTCCATGCTGTGATCCACCAAGCTCTGAGTCATCATTGCTGTTTTGTATTTTGGGGGTTTTTTTAAGTGTGATGCCCCAAGCTGAATTTCATCTGGCACCTTGCTAGGGCTAGGTACTGTTGGGGTTGCGTTTTTTACTGCCAGGTAACACCCTATTCTCTGCTGACACCTGACTGCATGTCACCCTGACCATCTCTGATGTCTTCCGGTCACTTTGAATTTTAATCTTGTCTGGCAGGGTGTTTGTGTTGCCTAACAGCAAACTGAATAAGCACGTTCTCCCTATTGTGTCATTCAGGTAGTTATCAAATAACATCGGGTTCAGAGCAGAACCCTTTGGGCCCCCTTGGGAAGCTTTCTAATGATCCACCAGCCTTTCAGTGGTTCCTTCCCACTTCTTGTTTTCAGTCCCCTGAAATTTTTAGCGGAGGATGAAAAGCACATGTTTATCTTCTGCCTGGTGTTATTGCTGTCCCCATGCTTGCAGGTGTCCAGTTTGTGTACACTAGCGTTCAGCTGCAGCTTTTTTTCCTTTTTGTTTCACTTATTTCTTTTTTTTTTTAAATATCATTTCCTACAGTGAGCAGGAAATAATCAGGTTGCTCAGAGCCTTGTCCAACCTGGCTTTGAATATTTCCGGGGATGGAGCATCTACCACCTCTTTGGGCAACCTGCGCCAGTGTTTCACCACCCTCATAGTAAAAAATTTCTTCCTTGTATCTAGCCCTCTTTTAGCTTCAAACCATCACCCCTTGCCCAGTTGCAACAGGCCCTGCTAAAAACATTGTCCCCATCTTTCTTATAGGCCACCTTTAAACATTCAGTGTCAAGCAATTGTAATGCAAAGTCAGGATGATGTGAAATGTGACCCTAGGAAAGGGAATAGCTGACCTAGCAGGTCTCATCTCTCTCTGCTTTCTGTGGGGTTTCTTTTTTTTTTTTTTTTCCCAATGGACTTCACAACGGGCTAATAGTTTCTAAATTCTTGTGACACTGTCTTGAATGAGTGGAACTATGTGGACTGTATATCTGACAGCATCTCTTCCTCTTCACAATTCTAGAAATAAATTGGAGATAATAGTTTTATATATATATATATGTATGTACGTATCTATAAAGAAAGGACATGAACTTTGTACTAACACTTTTTCAAAAAAGCCAAGCCATTAAATACAGTCCTTGAATGATTAGACTAAATTTAAAAGCTGATTAAAAACTTACTTTACAGTATATCTAAATCACACTTAAGCAGCATTTCAGCTGACTCTGCAGGCTCCATAAACCCTGCACTGCATCTCTTCAAGCCTTATTATCCCCCTTGTGCACCAGCTGTCCGTACCACTAATGCGGCATCCGGGAACAAGTTAATGTGCACATTCTAGCTGAACAGCATGTGCTGCTTCTTCCCAACCTCCGGAATAAACGCTGTAAAAATGCGATTCATCTGCCCATCCTGTACAGCGTCCCACATTCAGCTTTTTCCAGACAGTCTATTGGAATAACAGCCTCCTTTGAGGGCGCGTAGATCACCCCAGCTCAGTTGGGAACAGCTCTGCGACGTGGTGTGGTTTAGTTCCGGGCCTGAGAGACGATAAAAACACAAGATTCCATCCGCTGATTTTTAAGTAGTTTACTTTTTGGGTTGAGTTGTGGGGTTTTTTTCCTCCTAGGTATTCAAATGATTCCAAGGAGTGTTAGTGGAGCAAGTGATGGAAAATGTGATTCTAAACTCTAAGGGCGAGGCTGGAAGAGGAAAGGCAAAGCCACCCATGACCTTTGACGCATCTACTTTCCTTCATACTTTGGACATGAAACGGCTTAAGACCTTTCAGAATCCATCACGGCAGAGCCTGCTTCTGCACTGGCACAGAGCGATACCTACCTCAGAGCTCCGTTATTCCAGCTGACCTTTGCCGGAGACAGAACGGTGCACTTGCCACATAAATTTGCCAGTGTTGCCAAGGCTCTTTGGTAGAAAATACGCTTATTCTGCCATTAGTTAAAGGCGCAAAGATAAAGCTGATGCTGGAGAGTAACTGTGAGTGCGCTTGGGTCTGGTGGTTGAATTTCGCAGTTTTGTTAACTTCCCATTAAAACATTCTTTTTTTTGAACTTCCAAGGCTGTACAATACTACTCGTTAATTGTACCCCACGGATTACGCAGCAACCAGAGACCCAAAACGTGGGCTTTGCCCGCAGCTGGGGAGCACTGCTGGTGACTTGAGTGAGGGGAGATGGGGATATCCCTTGGGACATTAGGGGGAAAGAGCAGGCACTGGTACAGGGTCAGTGGCTGTGACCTCCAGCTTAGGCACCATATTTGCGCTGGGGTTAGAGCCTGGAATGCTGCTGGTTGTCATAGTTCTTCATGAGATCACATTCATGCTATGAAGACGACAGTTTTTCTTTTTTGCTTTATTTTCTAAGCTTAGACCGCCAGAGAGACTTCTAGTGGTGCTGCTGTTTGAGATTTTCGTTCTGCAGGACAAGTTGGGTTTAGTGACTGGGAAGAAGACCATAGTGGTAGAAGCCCCTAGAGATTTCAGTGCATCAGGCTCTTGCTGAGTGGCATCTTCCTGCCATAAAATGTTGTGAAAAATGCGTAGTAACTAACTTCTTGGCAGTCTTCTTGATGGTGACCCTCCGTTTTCAAAGGAGAAAGAGGTGACAAACAGCAGTAACTGAACCCGCTCTGTTTAGAGAAGAGGATGTTATTAGGACCAAGTTCATCCTTTTTATGTTCTGCCCCTGCTTTGGGATGTAGTTTCTGTACTGGCTGTGAATTATTCAAATTATACCACTAGCCTTCTGAACTATCCCGTGTCCAGGAAGAGGGTGCTTAGATCAATGTCGGCATGATCCTGAATCGCGTTTGAGTAACACTTTAATTTCCTCCTTGGCCTCCATCCAGCTGCCAAGCTTGGACCTTTTGTTTCCACGCTTGATGGCAGATTTTGGCTTTGCAGGTTTTTACATGGCTGCCAAGTTAATTTTAGAACTTTAGTTGCCATGACTACTGCTAAGTATTTCTCAGTTCTCCACTTATTTGCTCAGTTTGCTGTTTTCCTTTTTTTCTTCCCCCCCCCTCCCCAAACATTTAATCTGCAGTGTGTGAAGTGCATGGAGTAATTATCGTACCCCTGCAGAAGAAGAAAAGGAGGGCATGTGAGAGGGGAGGCTGATCTTCAGGCTGATGACTCAGCCGCTCTTTCAGCAGCTGCAAAGACTTGAAAGCCCTGCTCTTGGAAGTCGTCAGGATGAGGAGTTTCAGGCTGGGGAGGAAGGCAGGGGTAGCACACTCATTCTGATGCGCTGAATGAGACACGCTGAGCCTGCTGCTAATTCTGCTGACTCAGAGTGTCTTGAGGTTTATCTGGGTGTTGCTTGCTAGTTGTATAGGCTTACAGCTGTCGTTGGTTCCTAGTCTTACCCTTTGCTTTAAATTCTTTGAGACAATGGCAGTTGTCTTACTCAGAGCCTGTATAGTACATTATACAAAAAAATCCCTTTTCATTACTAGAGCTCCAAGGTGTTACACTAATGCAGTAATGATGGATGGATGGACGGATGGACGGACGAATGGACAGATGGGTGGATATCAAGTTTTACATATTGAGATGTCCTATTCTGTTTATGCAGGTAGGGTCATGAATGTCTTTTCGGTCATCCGAAAGAACAGGCAAAGATTCAGCACCCAGTGGTATTTAGACTTGTGATTAATATTTCAAACCCTTTGGCTTTTGAGTAAAATGTGGTTGTTGTCTGCATAGAAGGTCTTGGGAGGATGTCCTGAGAATGCAAGAACATCGTTATGTGGTTTTCAAGTGGGGGTGGCAGGGCAGGGAGCCAGGCAGAGGTGGAAAAAATGACCTGATGGGCAGTTTCGAGAGCTGGGAGCAGAGCCTGCTCTGACTTCTGAGCTCGAGGGCTGTGCTGGCTGCTGTGGTTCTGGTCCTGGGGGCATTAGGGATGTGAAGCAGTTGCAGACTTACCTGGAAGGAGCTTGGAGTTTAATCCTGCTGCTTTCCCAGAAATCTCACCCATTTACCAAGGACCTGGTGAGCAAAGATGGAGCCGTGTTGTATTACTCTGGCCAGTTCTCATGGGTAAGGTCTGTTTAGTACATGTAACACCTCTGTTAACAAACCTCTCTTCTGTGCCTCAGAGAACACCAAAGCAGGACAGAAATATGCTGTGCATGCAGTCGAAAAGAAATCTTTGTCTTGAGTCTCTGAGGGAAGTAGGAAGCTGCTTGGAAAGGAGAACAAACAGTAACTGAGCATGAAAGCCCCTGAAGTCAAGGTGCTGTGCTGTCTGGGCAGGCTCCTGTTTGTAGCTTGGAGAAGGGCAGTAGGGAAAAAAAGATAACTGGGTTAGAAAGGGAGTCACCAGAATAAAGGATGCTCTGAAAGCCCGTTGCACAAAATCTACGTACGACTTGTTCTACTGGAACATAAAATCGTCGTGGATGAGAAATTTGAGAGACTTAACTGGGCGCCCTAGGAGCTCTTAGCACAAAAGGTAAATAATGTGCAGAGGCTTACCCTGTCTGTATTTGATTTTTGTCGTCTTTAACCTTTCAAGCTGCGGCTCTGCTCTTTAACCAGTTGGAATTTAAATGTGTTGTTACAGTAGCGTCTTTGTTGGAGATGGACCGTGACTCGTGCTCATTAAGGCTACAGATGTCTGCTCGGATTATGTATTTCAAAAGCTTTTTCTCTGATGAACTGTGAAAAGCCGAGCTTGAGCGGAGGATTGCGAAAGATAAAATAATAGCCCCTCGTCCCTGTGTCTGGCAGACTAAATGCAGTTGCTCCCAGATCTTTTTAGAAACTTTGAGACAGCAAATTTGTTCACAGTCAATAAGACAGCCCTCTGAGCACAGCCCGTTTATGTTTCCCTTTATCAGTCTTTTCCTAAATTATTCGCAAAGCTTTTTACACTCCAAAAATCTCTAACCTGCGAGCTCAGCGTTTCCCAGATAATAAGGTTTAATAGGCATAAGTGGCATTGATAAACTGTTTATATGTGGCGTGATTAGAAAACATAGATCTTCTTAAGGGAGGAGGGGGGAAAAAAAAGCACGGAAGGATAAATACTCCGTGGATTCAAGCTCAGATAGCTTGGCAACTCACCTTTTTTTTGTGAATTTGCATTTAATAGCAGAGCAGACAGAATTTTTCGAGCCTGGCTTGGTAATACCTGCCTCTTCTGGGAGAAGAGGACTGAGCTATCAAGAAGTGCAGTTTAATGACTTTTGTGTTGGGTAAACATTGGCTGAAAGTTACTCAGGCAGAGCTAAAGAGTCGCTGCTTTTTCTTTCTAAAGTAGTTGTGCACGTCCACACTGGATTTTTTTCAGATGTTCTTGTATCTCCCTTTCTCCCTGTTACAGCGTGCACAAGGTGGGTAGAGGTTCATGGGGCGACCTCAGCCAGGTCCCTTCCGAACCTCTGTAGACTCACCAGGATCTGCAAAAAACCTGTGTTACCACGGAGAAGTTACTCGTGTAGACACAATGAGATGGGGAGTAAGACGAGTCAACACCTTGGTGTAAAAGTCTTGTCTGCAAAACTGTCTCGTAGCTCTGCTGCTTTTGTTTTGGCGGTGCTGTGGCGGAGCAGTTTTCTTGCCAGAGCATTATTTTGGAAGACCACTAAGGGCAGTTTGTTGGCTTCCCAGGGCCACAAGCCAAGCAGTGCTGGTAGGCTCAGGTAACCTTACTTTTGTCTTTTGCAGGGTTTGCTAGGAAAAGGAGGTTAGTAGAGCAGGTTTATCTGTCTTATTTGAAATTACAGCACCGCAGAAAGTGAAATACCACTGGGCTTCACTTGAGCGTTTTGCTAATGGTCCTTAAGATTATGTCGCCTCGGCCCGGAAAACGCAGCTCTAAAGCAAAAAGAAGGTTGTTACGGTGGTGGAAGGAGACTGTTTCAATGCTAGCTGAATCCTTCTAGGCAGAACTCCGTTTCAGAGCCATGGTGGGCCCTCTGCTCACTGCAGGGGGGCTGGACTGGGTGACGTTCAGAGGTCCTTTCCAACCCATCACATTCTACAATCTGTTTGGATTTATGGAAGCTTTTCATGCAGGACCTAGAAAGGTGCCATCCTAAACGAATGAATAACCTTAAAAGTTTGAAGAAGTTTATATATCATTCACTTCTCTCATTTTTCTTCCCTTTTAATAAGATGGAGAGTACCAAGAGCAGGGACTGTGCTGCTGCATAATGATCCTATGGTAACTAATTAGGTCTCATCAGGTCTGCAAAGGCATCTTGTTCTCAGCCTTATGCCAGAGCGCTGCAGCTGGTGAGCAACTTGAATAAAAGTTTTGTGGTGTTTTACTGGGATGTCATCGTATATTTACCTTCCTTGCACAGAAGAATTGCAGATAGTGACTGTAATCCGTGGATCATTCCTTGCAAATAAACTTGTTGATTTTTGTGTAGATCTCCTTGTCACTACACTCTCTACACTGGCCCTTGTCCGCGGTATGTGACGTGAATTCACTTCTCGGGAGTGTATTAAAGAAGCCACAGCAATGTGTGATGAGCTGTAATTAAAATTACTAATGCGTGTAGGTTCCTTTCCTCTCTTCTGCTTTGGTTTGCATTCTTCATGCAGTCTTTGTTCACTCTGAGTGATCCAGAGACCTAGTGTTGACTGGTAACAACAATTTCTGCTTTCCCTCTGGAGCACTTGTACGGGGAAATAAATTTCATAAGGAGCCTCACTGAGGTGTGACGTTAGGGATTAAGAAAACTGTGTGACCTGCAGCTGGCCTGCAAAGCTCGGAGCTGTGCTTGTAGGGGCATCACCAGTAAAACAGAGCTATTTAAGAGGGGTAGTTTTTTAGCAGCACCAATAATCAAGTTCTTTCAGTTTTGGTGCAGTCTTTCATTCCTATCTCATCCCTCCTTACTAAAATATCTGTGATTTAAAATGGAAACGTTGGAAGGGTTAGCCATTCTATGTCGTATTGTCTTACCTAACTAGTGCGTAAGTTATTTTTAGTGATGCCAAAAGATGCGCTTTGGTGTTTAGCTGTGGAAGTACCAAAATCAAACATTGAGAGAAATGCCCAGAGTCATCTAGATGCACAACAAGTGGGTGCTTGAGGAAAGCTCTTTTGTTATGCGGCTCACAGGAGGTTTATATTTCGTGATTTTGTTGCTAGAGACATTTGTAAGTGGCTCAGTTCCAATTCTGAGTGACCAAAACGTGGTTTGAGTTGATAGATGAAAGAAAGGAGAATTGCATGTTCAGATTTACTGTCCCAGCGTTCTGCAGTAGGAGATGAAGCATTTGTAGTTGTGCGGATTTGGGAGGTCGAGGGATTGGGTTTGTTTTCTGTGTTTTTTCTCTCAGCCTCTCGTTTTTCTTGAGGTAGGAGGTGAATGCTTTGTATCAGAATAGCGTTTTCCTTTTTGAGGCTATCAGGAGTTAAAGCTTGCCCAGAAATAGAGATTCTCCCCCAAAAAAGAAAACAGTGCTGAAAGGCTGTGGGACCTTGTGAGCAGGGGGCTGAGACTGGGTTGGAGGAGCGAGGTTCTGTGGTGCCGGAGCGGTGTGGCCTTTGGGCCGTTTGCTTCTCGGTGCCTCTGCCCTCCTTTCTCTTTTACTGTGTTTTCTCTTAAGATGTGCGTGCAGGTGAGCTGCCACTCGGATGCCCTGCAAAGTCATCGCTCCATCACCTTTTCTGCTTCTCTGGGCCCAGAGCCCTGGCAGGAATTCCTTCTGTATCGCGACTGAACAAATCCAGCTGTAACTTCTCTTACAATTCTTGGTAACTTTGCTGATTCCTCAGTGCCTCCTGCAAATAAAAGATACACGATATGCTATCTGAAGTAGCTCTTCTGATCCGGTCTTTTTGTCTCTTCTCTTCATCCCTCTAATACTGCTTTTCAGGGTCATGCTTCTGCTCCTGCTCCCTGCCATTCATTTACTATTTCCAGCCATTCCCTTCACCATTTCCACCTCAAATTGAAGCTCACCTGTGTGAACTTCCATGATCTCAGCTCATGTTTTTCTTTTCCTCATCGTGTTCTATTCTAACCTGTTTTTTTCTTTGGTTTTGTGGTTTATATTGGGTTTTGTTTGTTTTTGTTACTCTTCACGCTTTCACTGCCCTCTTTGCTTTTAGACTTTCACATCTCTTAGTGGTATCTTGTCTATCAGGCTTAAATTGCTGTTTCTGCTGTTCCAAGTCCCTTTCATCTTTTGAATTTTTTCCAGCAGGAGGTCTTCTGGTCACAAACATCCAAATAACCACCCTTTACTGAGCAGCTATCTCTGTTTTCTCCCCTATGTACTTTGGACTGTTAGACATGGGGAGCACAGGATGTAGTTGCTGCCTTTTTCGTTAAACTCCGTGCAAACTTTGACTGTGCTGCGAGTTACCATTAAGAGTAAAGATCAGACCTCTCCCATCTCTGATCCTGGTGTGCTTTGCTAGGTATGGCTGAGGTTCTGTGCTTATGCCCCAAAACTGGGTGTCTCGGAAGCAAAACGTGAAGACCGATAGGTAGGGGTAGGGGAGATACTCCTAGGGTAGCACCCAAGCTTCCTGCTACAGGGTGTATTTTCCTCCTTCTCAGTTTGTCTCTCCTTAGCGGTTTATCTGCTGGCACTTGCTGTGGGTGAGGACGGACTGGGTGGTAGTCAGCCCGTCTCCGATTTGCAGGCACGTGCTTGTAATAAGCTGATGTTCTGCAATCCAAAGAGACAAGGCAAGCTCGCGCGTTAGCGGAAATCACGGCCTGGGTTGAGAGCGGTTTTCTATCGAAAGAAACCCAAGGCTCCATTTCCCGTTTGTCTCGCAGAGGCAGGCAGCGGCCAGGACTACGTGACCTCGGAAAACCAGCTGCTTTACTACCCTAGCATCACCTACGCCATCATCGGCAGCTCCATCATCTTCGTCCTCGTGGTGGCCTTCCTCGCCTTGGTCCTGCACCACCAGCGGAAACGCAACAACCTGATGGCGCTGCCGGTGCACCGACTGCAGCACCCCGTCCTGCTGTCTCGCCTGGTTGTCCTCGACCACCCGCACCACTGCAGCGTCACCTACAACGTCAACAACGGCATCCAGTACGTGCCCAGCCAGCCCTACCACCGGGCGGCGGACGTGGACTCCCCGCCCTCCTACTCGGAGGCCGTGCTCGACCAGAGGTACGTGCGGCTGGGCCCACCAAAGCGTAGCTGTTAATCCGTGCTTCTGCTCCCTGCTTATCCTTATTACTGCTTTTGACGGTTCTGTCGCATGCGTAGGGCCAGGTTTTGAGCTCTTGCTGCCTGTGCAGAACTCACAGTCCTCAGGTCCTATTGCTGTATTAATTATTGTTTAAAGGGAACTTAAGTCGTGCTCTCCTTGGCAGTAGAGGTTTTGAGGATAGCAGGAGAATGCAAAGAAAGGGTATCACTTGTCTAGTAGTGATTCCCCGTGCCAGCCTGGAATCAAAACAGGAAAACTGGATTTGGAGTTTTGCCAAAAAAGCAACTCTGTTGTACGTCATGCTGTTTAAAAGAATCAGTAGGCCATGCTGTTCAAAAAAACAATAGGTCATGCTATTAAAAAAAAATAAACAGTTACCCATGTCGTAGGTAATAAGCATGTAAAGGTGAGAGGGCTTCATTTCTTGCATGAGGAAATTGTATATTCCCTCTGCCAACAGAAGAAAAGAGCGGGGCTCTGAAATGGAAAAAGCTGTTCTCATTTTACATGGCTGAAAGTGCTTTGAAGTTTTGTGGGTGTGGTTCGGGTTATGATGTTTTTGTAGTTATGACACTGGGTTTATTTGTAGATAATTAACCTTTCTTTTAACCTCTGTCTGTAAAGTCTTTCCAAACAAAACTCCTGGAGCGACATCCTCTGCACATAAAAAGGGTGTGGTGTGAACTTTGATCCAGGTTGTTCGCTGTCACCCTGTCGGTATTTTTTAGCAAGAACTCTGGGATCTAAGAATGATAGCGTAATCATTTACATTCCTATTCTCTGCTGCATTTGGCAGCAGCTCCCTTGTCTTAATATTGACACTCGTAATAATGATATCTTCTCGTTAGTAAGGGCAACTAAATGAGCAGCTGTCCAGACTGCAATCGCTTCTCACCTGGGCCAATACAAACCATCAGAACTTCAGAGATAATTGCTCCCAGGAACTGTTACCTATCTGCTAAACCCTGCAGTCCCTTTACTTGTTTACTATCAGAACCAAAAAACCAGTTTTCCTGAATCCAGTATTCATCGTGCCTGTGTCTCCTTAGCAGTTGCTCTGCATGTGATATCATGACAGCAAGAGTGGTTTGTTATGTGGAGAATTCAGTTCATTATTTACTTGCAGACTGTAAGCCATAATCTCTGTCACTTAATGGAGGTTTCCCTGGAGCTTTCTTGTGTTTCACGTCATTATCTGTAGGTGCAAATCCACTGCTTTCCTCGGGTCCTGTAAATGTTACACAGGAACAATTCTCACCTCTTGCAGCTGTCTTGGAGGGTGAGCCAAGATTTGCTGGTAGTGCTTATCTGTGAAAATAGCAGTGTAGAGTGTTAAAGCAGGGTGTAATTAGCCAGAGAATCTTAGAATGGTCTGGGCTGGAGGGAACTCAAAGATCACCTCATTCCAACCCCCTTCCCTGGGCGGGGACACCTCCCACCAGCCCAGGTTGCTCTAAGACTTGTCCAACCTGGCTTTGGGCACTGCCAGGGAGGGGCTGCCACAGCTTCTCTGGGCAACCTGTGCCAGGGTCTCACCGTCATCACAACAAAGAATTTCTTCCTCGTATCTCATCTAAATCTACCATATTTCAGTCTGGAACCATTGCCCCTACACTCCCTGATAGAGTCCCTCCTCCGCTTCCCTGTAGCCCCGTTTAAGTACTGGGAGGCTTCTCTAAGGTCTCCCTGGAGCCTTCTCTTCTCCAGGCTGACCATCCCCAGCCCTCTCAGCCTGTCCTCGCAGGGCAGGTGCTCCAGCACCCTAAACATCTTTGCAGAGCTCTTCTGGACCTGCTTCAGCATGTCCTTCTTATGTGGGGGGTCCCAAAGCTGAGCACAGAACTGCGGGTGGGATCTCATGAGAGCAGAGTATGATGCGTCTTGCCCAGAAACCTGCGTGCCCAGGGGTGGTGTGGAAGTTTTGGAGTGACCTAAATAATGTCAGCTCTGTTTGAGGTCTCCTGGTGGGTGTTGTCATGGAAGAGCTAAGAAACACTGTGGGGTTTTTTCATAGTTGGAAAATGACGTGCTTTCTTGCATACGACAGTTTTCAGTAAGCTCTTTCTGTGTCGTGTGTCTTGCAGCAGACCGCCTTGGTTTGACCTTCCTCCGCCGCCTTATTGTTCGGAATCTGAATCCCCTCATCAGCCAGATCTCCCTCCTTACCGATCTCGGACGGGCAGCGTGGTGAGCACCGCCACCCCCGCGGCGGGAAGCCCTCTGGGCATGGCGGGCAGTTGGACAAGAGACATCCACGAAAGCATGGATGGCCACAGGACTCTCCTCGAGAGGACAGCAGCTCAGAGCGATTCTCTGCTCAGCCACGCTGCAGAAGGAGAAGCATAACTGCTCCAGGGCTTGGGATGAAGGCGTTTATTTTTCCCAGTCTATATGGGTTCATCTGCTGTGGCCAAGAGGTTTCGGGGGGATGTGTGCCTGGGTGACGACTGGATTTGAATTCACTCAAAGTTAATATTTGAATTCAATGCTTTGGGCTCCGCAAAGACAGCAGCGAGAGCTAAACCCAGAGTCACACCCGCTCTCCACAATATTTCTGCGAGCAGGTTCTGGTTCAGACTAGTAAGAGAAACACCGGTGCTGCACCAAAGAGCTGATGCGATGTGTTTGTTGGACTGTTTGCTGTATGTGGATGTATATACGTGCCTGTGTAATATATACAGATGTAGCACACTACACCAGGAGGTCTCTTGTTTTCAGACTGTCTCCCGTCCTGTCACCATGTGAGCTCTTTCCGGTGTCACCTGGTGGTCACTGAAGCACGTGAGAGGCAGTCGTTCTGCTGGGAGGTGCCCAGTAGTAGCCCCCTGGCAGTGCTCAAATGGCAGAAAATGTCCTGCTTGACCCTTCTCTTCATGGCCTGGAACATTCTCACTGTGAATGCAATTTTCAAACATTAGGCTTGTGAGGATGCAACAACTGTTTGGGGTGGTTTTTTCTTCCCCAGATGCTAATGCCTAGGCTAAACGTGCGTGGGTTTTCTCAGGAACGCCACAAAGGTTGGCTTATCTGCCAGGCTTCAAGGCTGAGCACAGAGGCACTGAAGCATCTCAACGAACCAGTGCAAGACTACTTTTCAAGCGGGACAAAACCAGCATTACCCGGTGTGTTCCTTCTTAAAAAAAATAAAAACAAACCCAAAACACAGCCAAACAGCGAAAGAAAAAAACAAAACAACAACAACAAAAGTCCAAACTGTTTCATTTGGTTGAAATTCTAGCTTCTGCAGAAAAACTGAATTAGTTGGGGCTGTTTTGTCCTGACTCTTGGAATGGTCTCCGAAGGTGTGGTTCAGGGCAGTGCTGAGTCAGCCCTGTGAAAGCATCTTGGAGGCAAAGGTAATGGGAGCAGCTAGAGGGAAGGTTTTTAAGAAGAATATAAATGCCACTGCAGCCCTGTGCTCGTGTTCAGTGCACTGAAACAGCACAGTGTCTTCCTCCTGTCCAAAGGGAAACTGGCCTTGACAAATCATTTGTATTTGTCTGTCTGGCACATTTCCCACCCTTTTGATTCCATATAATGAGCGGTGTCATTAAATAAACTTTGCTGTTTAATGGAAATCATAGAATTGTTTAGGTTGGAAAAGACCTTTAAGATGACTGAATCCAACCAGCACTGCCAGCCTGACCCACCTCCCCGAGCACCTCAGCTACACGTGTTTTAAATCCCTCCAGGGGGGATTTAAAATCCACCCCTGCCCTGGGCAGCCTGTTCAGTGCTTGACAGCCCTTTCGGTGAAGAAGTTTTTCCTTATAATGCTGACGGGCTTGGCTGACTTTGGACTTTAAAATACACTGTTGAAGAGTTTGCAGTGGTTTAATTAAGAGTTAGACATCTTTCTTTAATTTTAAAGTTGCCTAAGGCTGTATTAGGGAAACTAAATTGTTGTGTAACTCCTATGGCACGTGTCCCTCCCAGCAGCCTCCCAGGGGCACTGCATTTCACCATGTGTGTTCTAAGACACCGGAGTGTGTGCAAACCAAATATTATTTGCCT